GAGAGGAGGTAATTCTGACTTTGCTATGACAATCTGGCGCTTCTGAATCAGCTACTGTTTTGTTATTAGTTTAAGTATTTGCTATTGACTGTTCAAATGCGGAGTTTTGCGCATCGTGTGTGTGTGTGCGCGAGCGAGCGAGAGAGCGAGAGAGAGAGCGCGCGAGAGAGAGAGAGCGAGAGAAAGAGAGAGAGCGGGAGAGAGCGAGAGAGAGAGAGAGAGAGAGGGGGTCACATCACAAACACATACCAGCTTCATCACTGTGTCTGTCACGCGACTCTGTTCCCCTTTCGGCTTGAACTGATGGTAAAACTAATGACATTATTTACTGTCTTTAATATATATCACGGCCAGCTAGAAAAGTCATGAAGGGCCTTGAAAGTCAAAAAGATTGAGAACCACTGCTTTAAATGTCTGTGTCTGATCTAAGAAGCAAAAACCATTGTGCTGCTGCAATACTAACCATAAATATAGTGAGTCAACTCATACATCAGCTAAAATTGCCCACAATTATTTAATATTTCATAACAAGAAGTTCCAAAGTGATTCAAGCTGAGCTCTCAGCAGGCGGTTGAGTGCTCATCTTACTATTCTCTTCAACCCTAGAGAAGTGCCTTAAGTCACATCTTGAGAGTAGACCTCCGTTGAAACTTAAAGGCTCAGCATGGGGGAGGTTGTCATGGCAGCAATGCAAAATGGTAATGACTGGGAGGGGAAGATTGTACCCTTTAATTCTGCTATCATGCAATGACATCATTTTTCAACTTGAAATTAGCTGAATCCATCAGCTTATTTTGCTAGTAAATTCTGTTCAAGACACAATCATGATGATATGTAAATGTGGGCAGAATTTCATTTTGCACAGGCTTATTGCAATATAGGAATATTATTTTTAACCATACAGCTGCCTTCCAGATAATTGCTGTTCACTCACCTTCCCAAACATCTACTAAAAACATATTATCACCTCAGGGCTGCAGTATACGGTTGGGTTTAGAATAAACCCGACTGCTTAAACAAGACTAGCAGGAGGCAATTAGTGTAATCGGTTAAAGCAGAGCTTACATGATGTGAGTGAGAGATGATCATTGTGTCAAACCATCAACACATTTGCCATAGATTATCTACTACAGGGAGAAATCCACATAGATGCGGCAATCATGTTGAAGCAGAAGGTGATGATGGTAATGATGCCCCCAAGGGTGTGTTTCACACTTTGCCTGTCACCTCGTATCACGAACACTCAACCTTGACTGCCAGACATAAGCTCCCTCTATGAAGCTGTGCTGAACTAAGGTGTTGCTATCAGAACGGGATTTACTTTCTGACTTTTATGCAAACTGTAAAAAACAGTAATTAGGGGGTGGGGAGAGAAAATACCTTTCTACTTCTGTGAGCTTCTCTTTTTTGCTCATAAAATAAAAACTATGAAAATAAGAAACAATATTATATACTGTAACATACATAATACTATACTGTCGTTCAAAGTTTGGGATCAGTTAGAATTTAATTTTTTTTTAAAGAAGTCTCATGCTCATCAAGGCTTCATTTATTTGATCAAAAATACATAAACACAGTAATATTGTGAAATATTATTGTAATTTAAAATAATGGTTTTCTATTTGAATATGCTTTAAAATATGATTTATTTCTATGATGCAAAGATGACTTTTCATCAGCCATTACTCTAGTCTTCAGTGTCACGTGATCCTTCAGAAATAATTTTAATAAGCTGATTTATTATCAATGTTGAAAACGGTTGTGCTGCTTAATATATATAAATATACAGTATATACAGTATATATATAGAGAGAGAGAGAGAGAGAGAGAGAGAGAGAACCTGTGATACTTTTTTCAGGATTCTTTAATGAACATAAAGTTAAAAAGAACAGCATTTATTTAAAATAGAAATATTTTCTAACAATATGAGTCTTTACTATCACTTTTTATCTATTTAACACATCCTTGCTGAATAAAAGTATTAATTTCTTTCAAAAACTTTTGAATGGTAGTGTATATTGTAATAAAATATTTTCAAATTATATATGTCTTTATTGTCACTTTTGATCAAAGTAATGCATCTTTGCTGAATAAAAGTATTCTTTTCTTAATAAATAAATAAACAAACAAACAACACTTTATACATAAAATGTTGTCACATGTGGTAATTAAAGTTTGAACTTACCTGGAGCACTTGATGAGACTGGTGTCCAATGGTAAGATTTTGGTTCAAACTATCCATGACCAACGTGTTTTCACTTACTCGCTCCGGGACATGAGGATCCTGCCAGAGGCAAGAACAGTGTTGAAACAACCTTGCAAATCTTATACAATTAATCACGTTTATAATATCTTTTACTCAGTTTTGTTAGTAAATTCTTATTCCTATAACAGCTCGAACATTCTGCAATATGACTTTATTTGTGTTACATGGCATGATCATACAGGTTTGGACCGACTTGAGGGTGAGTAAATGATGACGGTTTTAATTTTGTGGCAGAACTATCTATTTGTAGGGCCACGGTACATACTTGCATACATGTATATATTCTCTCTAACTGGTGTCTTGTAGTGTAGACGACTGCTAAGCCAGTCAAGTACACACAATAGTGCGAGTGGGAGAAATGCAGCCTCCGGCATTCCCCGTCTGCATCCTCAGCTGACTCACTGCCCTGATGAATAGAGTCTGCACTCACACAAATGGCATTTGCAAACAGATAATGCTGATTTACCACGTTGGCCCAACTCACACTGACTCTCACTGGCCGCAAGCTGCCTTTTCCTCTGAGACCTGACACATACACACACACACATACACACACACACAGACAGACCTTCCTGCCCTGACATTCCTGTGCTCTTACTCAACATGCTGTCTATGAGTTCAACCACAGCACAATATACAATCACTCCAATGGTTCAATTTGTACATTTACCTGTTGGCTAGTCACAAAGAATTCTGTTATGTACACTCATAAAAACAAAGGTTATTTATTGGCATTGAATTCCATGCAGAATCTTTAACATTCACAGAACCGTTCCATTGCACAGAAAAAAATGAATTCAATGAAACCCAAACCTATAATAGCATAATCTGATGTAATTATTGTAATTACTCTGTGAGATTCAATGATAGCACCTTTTATGAGATTGGAGAAGAAGGTTGAAGAATTTAAATTGCTTGGCACTGAATCAAATTTTACACAAATCGAACCTTTTAATACTTGAAACCACTTCACCTGAACAACATAACCCTTGTATAATGCAAAAACGGGATCTACAAATTATTGCTTCCACATTAAATTCTGATTAGGTTTTTAACATTTAGCAACCAGCAGAGAGAGCATGTATCCATCAAGAAAAAAAAAAATGAGATAAGTAATAACCGGCTTGCTGTTTAAAATGTGAAATAAAATATACACATTTACCTTATTCCAGTTGTCCAACAAAAACAGCGCCTCCATTTCTGAGCATACTGCTATATCAAAGTGCCTGATGTCTTAGGAAATGTAACTAGGCAATGTTCCGCCTCTCTAGTCCCTCTACATCTTCATTTAGAAGATACATGTTCCTATTCAAAACAGCACGGACCTGCCTGTACATGCTGCTTTGAGCTAAATCCCACATTCCTGTCTGTCAGCTACAGCCCTGATAACAGATGTTAGTTCGCTGGTCAATAAAAAAATTGATCTCCATAAAAGAAAAAAGAATTACATTGAAGAGAGGAAGTTTAAGAAGTTGAAGCGAACACAAGAGAGTAATAATGGAAGTATATGTACAGTAGGTCATCTGGGAAATATACAAAAACTGACTGAGAGGCAGACAGACAGAAGATCTGACAGATTGAGATTTGGTTTGATCACAATCCATAACTCTGTTATTGCCACATGCCTCTTAGCTCATCGAAGCCGATTTGCACGATATAAGGGGCAATGAGTCACATTTCCCTACTAGTGTCTTTATACAGAGTTTGATTCTGTTCCAAATTGCACACGCTCACACATTATCATACCCAACAATGTGAAGGACAGCACATTTTTCCAGCATGCAGCATAAAGGCTGTTATTGTCTCTCTTCAGCATGCTCAAATGGGAGAGACGCTCTCTGTGGATGCTGCACCCTGCCTGAAGAGTGCTATGGAAAAAGATGAAGAGATGTGGTCGAGTGAAGGCATGTAGGTCTGGTTCGTTGCTCAGTGACTCCAAACTAGCTCACAGGCAATTAAGTGAAGAGACGAATCATATGTTCAGAGCCACACCTCTAAAATTATTTTCCTAAATGATGCATAAGTGTATGTATTCTGTATGTGTATGTCTGTTTTCCAGGGGAAAAAAATAAAACATCCTTAAAAATCAGTTTACCTGAGAAGCAAAATTGCATAAGACTCGTTTTATACAGAGAATATATCTTGAATAATCTTGAATATTATATAGTTTTTCATTTTTATTACTATTATCATCATCATCATCATTACCATCATCATCAAATTTATTGAGATTTATGCTTAAAACTATATTTAAAAAATTCAATGGGGTAAAAAAAACTTAATTCAATATATAGTAATTCAAAAAAGTTATTTTGTTGTCATATATCATAGTTTCTGCCTCAATTATTATTATTATTATTATTATTATATATCCTCATCAGATTTAATGAGGTTAAGCCATAAAACAATTTTTAAAATGTCAGTAGGGTAATAAAAATGAACTTAGTTCAAAATATATATATATAAAAAAAAAAGTTTTTCCAAGTAAATTTATCTTATTTAAACAATTGTTTTTTGGTAAACAAGATAAACACACTGATTAAGATTTTTTTTTCTTCAGTAGAAGTGTTCTTTCAAACTTTTCAGGCCCTGATGCTTGCATTCATAATGCTTAAGTGTCAAGTTTAGAGAAGAGATATTGGATCGTTCTGAAAGACGGATGACACAACATTCAGCTTTTCTAAATGACAGCACTGTGGGCTGGAAGGAGGCCATGGATTAATGGTAGATACATGTCTGAATGGAAAGACATGATGGTGGTTTTTGGAATGTAGATGCTCCACCACATGTGATCCACTCTCTCATACATATTGCTGAGGTTCATTTAAAGGATTTTCCTTCAAGATAATATTGTGTATGCCGAGGAAATGCTGAAGGAGAAGAAATTTGTAATTGGTTTATAAAAGAGTGAAGAAATGTGGTACAAGACGCTCGAAGTGAGTCCTAGCTGTTGAAGTGTAATAACAGCTTTCTAGTTCCTGCCTTGAGGCGCAGTGGATTATTCATCAGTGGAATTTCAGCTGAGCTTGAAAGTACAGGGACAGAGATGGAGAGAGAGATGATGAGCTTTTTCAGTAGTGTGTTATCTTCTGCAAGCTGCCTGCTCAGAGACCTCCACCTGGTGGTGAAGCACTGCTCTAAAACTGTACTTCTTAAAATTGGGTCTGTTCTGATATAGGGGTATGGAGAGATGGAGAAAACAATGCTGATTGCAACATAATAACATTTAATGATATAAATATAAACGTATTAGTAAATAATAATAATAATAATTTTTATATAATTTAATTTGATGATATTTTATCAAATTATTCCAATTGTTCCAAACCTGTAAGACCTTTGTTTATATTCGGAACACAAATTAAGATATTTCTGATGAAATACGAGAGCTTTCTGACCGAGAGCTGAAATCCAAGAGCTTTTCTTTCTGACTTTATTCAACAATTTTATCTGTTATTAGTCATTATTTTTGTTTTCTACGTGCACAAAAAGTATAATAATTTTAATTTTTGGATGAACTATACCTTTAAGGTAATTTATAAGCTAGTTTGCTCCAAAAGAATGACAAAATTTGCAGAAATAAACAATAAAAACTTACAAGATATAAACATTCAAAACCTTTTTCTCACTTATTGGTTATTTTAAAAAGGGGAGGAGCTGCTCTATATGTCCCGCCCTGTCTTCCTGTTCAACAGTTTGCTGTCATTGAACTTGTTTCCACGACATGTGATCACAATGCCTAAGGCCTCTTCATATCCAAAGATGCCCAAACTTCAGAGGACGTTATTGAAGAAAACAACACTCATGTTTAAGATCAGTGCGTGCACCAGGCCACGTATTTGCTGCAGCATACAGACACATAGGCCTATCTAGACAGGAAATTGAGGGGCAGATGATAAAATACTGCCATTTCTGTGAGTGTATGATTATGGCCACAGACAAACACATGGATGACTAAATACCTTCTTCCATTTTTAGACCTGGCCACAAAAATGTTGCAAAGTAGAGGAATGTGAAAATGAACTGGGCTCCTGAACGTGACTTAAAATAGCAATGAGTGGGTAGAAATTCTACTACCAAGTATAATTATGTAACATTGATTCTCAAGAGGTCTAAACATGGCAATTGAATAAAAAAGCAAACTTGATGAACCTTGCTATTTATAGATCCTATCCTATCCCATGTCTACAGGCTATGGACCTAATAAAATGCTAACCAGAACTTTGTTTTTAGCTTCAAAGCTAATTTTTCTAATACACTTACTTAGTATTGTGGGATGCTTTTAAGTGCTGTGCAAAACCTCTGGTATGCTGGTTTCTCCATCACTCATTGTTTTAAGAATACCAGAGGCTTGGTTACAAGCTAATAACCGGCAGACCACCTGCACAGTGAAGACACATGGGCAAAGGTCACCAGAACACCATCAAAGGCTCTTGTGTGCATGCTCATGTCAACGTCAGTGAAATATATAACCCTGAGATAAGAATCCAAGAGCAAGAAAGAGTCTATTGTTGACAACCAGCCAGAGGACCTGGGGTTATACAGGCCTACACTGGAGAAAAATTCAGCTGAAGATGACAGTTGTGTTGTGGAACATGGTAGCTGGTTTCTAGCGGGTCTAAGATGGTCATTAGCTAGTTGTTAACAGGTTGACCATTGACCATGTTCAAAAAATACAGCTTGACCACTTAAGTTGGTCAAAGCTGAAGAAACCAGCTATCATGTTCCAAAACAGTGGATTCCCAGCAGGGTAAATATTAGCATAATACAAGCCTTTTTAAAGTTATCATCATCTAAACATATAGTAGCACCTCTAATCATAACAACATCAATGATAATTTAGTCATCAACAATATAAGTGGGCACTGGGGAGATCACTCTAGAAGACATACCCTAAACAGTAGAGAGGAAACATGACAAACAAACAGGATGGCAGGAGAGGAGTCCACTGCTGACTGTTGAGTCTATATGTAGACTTCCTATCGGACAGAGAGTTTCCTGTGGGACGAGGCAGAATG